CTCGCGGGGCCTCAGAGCCCAGGCTCCAGCCGGAGCCCAGACATCTCCACTGCCATTTTTAGCCCCGCTGCCCAGGCTCTGAGACTCAGCTGACCCAGACCAGCTGTGGCCGCGCCGTGGGTCTTTTATTGCAGTGTAGCCGTACCCATTGTGTTAGAAACCGGGGCCTGCGGAGCCAGTCTCTGGGCAACTTAACGAGCATAGCTGGGCTGTAGCAGGCTGCCTGACTGGCTACAAAACCGGCCGATGGAGGTTCCTGTGACTGTGGGGCCTGTTTCCGATCCTCTGTCCGTTCACGTATCCGGGCAGAGTTCCTCTGGGCGGCGTCCAGTGGCTCCCTTGACACCTTTGAGGAGCAGTGGGCGCTGTCCGGGGTTCTCTGCTCGGTGTCCCCGTCAGGTTCCCTCCTTTTGACCCTTTAATCGCACTCCTGTCCCTGTTTTTACATTAGTTGTCCCCCGTAATCATTTGGGTTTTAGGTCCTGTGGGTCCTCCCCTTAGGCTGGGGGGGATCCTTTAGCAGTGGGCGGGCTTCGCCCACTTCCCGGAACCCAATAGGTACAAAACCTGCTTGATTGGAAGAGGCAGGAGACCAGCTCTTAAGCCCAGCAGCAGCAGTTCAGCGACTCCTCATTCACTCCCGGCTACAACAACTTCTGTGCCTGCTTGTTCCCAGCTTTGCTCCCACTTTGTTCCAGTCCTGCTCCAATTCTACTCCTGCCCTGCAGCCTGCCTTGCCTCACGCCAGGTAACCTGGTCCTGGCCCTCAGCTCCAATTCCTGGCTTCTGACATCAGCTCTGACCGTGGACTCCCATTCCTGGCTCCTGCTCCAACCACCAGGCACATCCGCTCACGTCCCAGTCACTGACACATCGCAGAACTCACTCGGGCTGTTGTAGGAACTCTCCTGTGGAGCCTATTCAAGGTGGACCCGTGGCTCGGCCTCGCCCCTGCCCTGGGCTCTGCATGGCCAGCTCAGTTAGAACGTAGCTGGCTCTCTTCTGCGCGTTCCCAGGCGTGGCTCCCCGAGGTAGGGTTACCAAGGGGCCTGCTGGGCATTCCGCTCAGAAGAGCTCACACAACCAGTTATCTGTGTGCCACACAACGGGGCTCATTGCTCCCTCCCAAGCTTCTAGCAGCCGCGAGGGAACCGGAGAAGGGGAGATTTTGCTGGCCAGGAATGTGAAATCGACTGGGACGCCAGTCCCAGATGCTCTCAATGGGACTCTTCATTCTCTCGCTCTCACCCAGCTACTCACTGTGCTGTTTCCTAGAAACACAGCCTGAAGTTCACTGCCAGTTCACACTGCTACTGCACCTTATCACACCCAAATCCACCCTGCGGGCCAGATCTCGTATGCAGCTGGGGAACAGAACGCCCCGGCTTTCACATCGGGGGCTTGAGGCGACTTTCCTAGGGTGGGAATGTTCTAATAGGCTGGTCATCGGCCGAGGTGCGTGGACATGGCAGAGTCCTGCCCGAGCAAAACCCTGGTTCCCAATCCCACCCATTGCTAGGCAAGTTTGGAGCCAGACCTCTGGGGCTCACGTTTGGCTCCAGTGGGTCTATATTCAAATCAAGAGCTGAGAACTGCCCAGAGTGTGTCCCAGGACCTTTCAACAGGCTGCGCCTGTGTAGAAATCGGAAAAGTTGGTTAAGACACCAGAGAGCTGTCAGCATGGAGAGCGAGCTGGGCTCTGCCCTGCCATGCACGATAGCTACAATATTCCTTAGCCTTCCCGGCCCCGTTCCCAGCAGAGGCACGCAGGAAAGGACGCCGGCGACTTGCTCAAGGTCACGGACTGAGACAGCGGAAGGGTTAGGAATGGAAGCTAGAACTCCTGCCTCCCAGCCTGCTGCTCTGACCATCAGCCATCTCCAGAGCACACAGCCAAATAAGGGGAGTGGGGGAATGTTATTTTTCCAAATAACGCTGGGCTCCTCTGCACACCAAGCTCTCCTGCTCTGCACAGGGTTTAATCCGTGCAACTTCCCACCCTGTGAGCCACGGCCCAGGAGTCACCGTCATGCTGTACTACTGCCCGGACCCGTGACACGGCTCAGAGGCAAGGAGCTGGCATTCTGGTGCAGCAGCACCGCCATGGCGTCCTGATGCACTGACACAGCAGCCCAGCCTCCTGGGCCAAGTCTGTGCCGCAGACAAAACCAGGCCTGTGTCAGAGCGCACGGCAGTCCAGCACTGCTCAGTGTTGCCACTCACAGGCACAGCTGTCCCCAGCAGACCCAAACTCCAGCCAACAACGTGTAGAGCAACCTGTAGAGCTAGCTCGCAGCTCCTTAGGCTGGGTCAGGACAAAATGTCCTTATCACTCCTTCTTTGTAAAAATGCTGAATACTGATTAGAATTAGGGGCTGGTCTGCAAACGTTCAGCTTGGAAAGGGCTGCTCTGGACAGAGGAATTCGCTCCTTGCAAAATATTAGTGGGTGGAGATCAATGTGTCCATAAAGGCTCCACCTACAAAAATGCTCCAGCATTCCTGAGCCCGATCTGCAAGTTACAAAGCTCTGCTTGGGGTTTCTCCGTCACCAGCTGTGTGGATTGGGGACTTTTCTAACTGGGGAAGCACAAAACAATTTCACATCTTTAGACGTGGCTGCTGCGCAGGCACAGGAAGGAATGCGCATCTCAGTTAGCAACATAGCCTTTGCCCCAGCGATGGGTCGGACAACTGACTCTCCAAACTTGCTCTGGCGGCTGCTGACAGTGGCCAGTACCTGATGAGTCAGAGGATGAAAATGTCCCACATGATGTGCCTGGGAGGGAAGTCCTTTGTGACTCCAACAATCATCAGATTATGGCCTGAAGTGCTTTAATTTAGGGCTCCCCCAACCTTCTCAATACATCTTTAGAACCCCAACTGATGCAAGGGTTACATGCAACTCCATGGGGCAAAGGGAGCAGGATTACCACAGAGCGCAACCTCCAGCAGAGAGATCTTCAAATGAAAGGAGCTGTGGACTTGGATGAATAGATTGTGGGGCTCTGCAGCCTCTCATAAAACCTCCCAGCTCTTGCATATTCCCACGGGAGATCTTATTTTCCAGGGAGATTAAAAATTGGGAGGAAATTGACGCCACACGTAGATAACCACGGGGGGAGGGGGGGAGAGAGAGAGAGAAAAATTCAGAGTTAGGGCAGGGAGTTTTTTCCTCCCTCCCTCCCTGCCTAGGAATGCTGCTGTCTGGGGACGGGGGGGGGGCTCTCATCCTCTCATCATTACACTTATTTACACAGGCAGATTGTGCCCAACATTACAATAGCAGGACGCATGCTATAAAAGTTACAACAAACATTTGCCACCCATTGCCCCAGGCCCCCAGCCCAGCCTCTGCCTCCTCCACTCCCTGAGATGCCCTCTGGTGAAAGGCCCAGATTACAGGTGTGCAGGGAAGGGGGAGATGGGACCCCACGCCACAAATCACAGTCCTGCCCCGAGGCAGCTCCCAGTCTGATTCCATATTCTTCTCTCACAGATCACGGGAGTGTCTGGAGTCTGCATCCCATTGCAGGGCTGAGCTAAAAATCCGCACCCAATGGCAGCCAGCGCTGGCACAGGAGGCAGGGAAAAGGGCGCTTACTCCACTACCTAAGGGAGGGAAGCATGCAAGCTCCTCGGTGCTCTCAGTAAAGGGGTGAGTGGGTGGAAATGGGGTTATTACAATTCTTCTGCACCTCCCAAGAGACAGCTGCTCATTCTACCTACACTGGCACTAGCTCAGCATGAGCAGCTGCCATCACAGCTACCATGTGGGGAAGGAGCTGGGAAGCCTGGCAGGTCAAGCAGAGAACCCACTCCCAACGCCTCTGATTCTAGCCCGACACGTATGGGCAGACTCGGTTGGACGGTCTTCTCACCACACTCAGCAATTACTTAATAAATATTCCATTTTCGTCTTCAACGTGCTTTACAAACACTAATCCCACTGATTAGCACTGGGGCTTCCAGGTGACAGCCCTGCCACGGAGAGCACTCCCATGAAGTCTCATCCGACACCGGTGCCAAAGCAGAGACAGATGGTACATACTGCAGGAGCTGGGGTACTTGGGCACATGGGCATCAGGCCACAGGGCTAGACACGTTGCCCTCAGCTCTCTCCAATCTATGCACTGTTGTTCCCCAGAGGATCTCAATACACTACACAGGTGATTCAGTGTCACTCCCTATTTTACAGATGGAAAAACGGAGGCTCAGGAAGATTGCAAGGGATCATATAGGGCCTGGCACTATTCACACAAATAAGGGCTCACAGGACCAGCTGTTCCACTCATGCCTAAACTCTGCAACTTTTTCCACCCAGGCACACACCTGTGCCAGCACATAACCCACTGAAGGCACTGGGGCTCCGCCACACAGGATCTGTCCACACAGAACAGGGTACAGGACTGGGGCCTCACTTATATCAGTGTATCTTCAGGGGAGTCACACAGTGTAGCCGACAGCAGGATCTGGCCCACAGACACAACTCATTCTCCTGCTAAGAAAGCCTCTTGTCCACAGCATGCAGCCATCCCCCAGCCTCCTGGCCAGCTGCTTACCAGACTGAGCCCACCTCCTACCCTACAACCAAGCACAGCCGGCCCACCTCTAGCTCAGGAGGTCTTGGCACTGCCAAGCCTGAGGCTTAGGGTGACAGGGTACAGGGGTAGGTGGGGACACACCACTAATGCGACTCCTCATTAAGGTAAATAAAGATAAAGAGAGGCGTAGAAGTACCAGCATCAGTCTGGCGCACAGGCTGGTCGGCTGGATGCCACTGCGCTGTGTGATTCTGATTGGCGCTAGATTGGGAATGGAGTTAAGGTTGGCTCGGGGCAGCGTTAAGGTTAGCTTGGGGGCAGCGTTAAGGTTAGGGTTAGAGAGCCCTGCACCCACAACCCCTGCGCACTGGGCCATGGTTAGGCACCCACCCCAGTGAACCTGGCTAGGTGCCCCTTGCCCCAGCCCGTGGGTGGGGGTCCAGATGCCCCATCCTACCTTGAACTCCACGGAGAGTTGCGGGGTGTAGTCCAGTGTCCAGAGCGCCCGGACCAGGGCTGCCAGTTGCTGGGTGACCTCTCCGGGCACGCCACGGGCACGGTACTGCTCCAGGCCCAGGAACTCGGCCAGCAGATCGGTGTTGCTCAGGCACTGCACCACAGCGTTCATGAAGCACGTGTTGCCGTGGTTCTTCAGCCCCTGCGCCCCCGGGGGCCGCCCCTCCGCCGCGCCCCCCGGGGGGCTCCAGGAGCGCCGCGGCTCCGGCCAGCCGCTGCCTCCCCCGACCTGCTCCTCAGGCTGGGCTGCCCCGGGGGGCCCGGCCGGCGGGGGGCCCGGTGGGCACCGGAACCCCCCCTCATCGTCCTCCGGCTCCGCGCCCCCCCGGCGGCTCCCCCCTCCCAAGTGCGACAAGGCGCTCAAAGTTTTCAGCAGGCGGCTGACCAGGCTGCCCAGGGCGCGCAGGGGTCTGCGCCGGGACCCTCGCCGCCGCCCGGGGGGCTCCGTGCCTCTGCCGGGCCGCTCCTTGGGGGGCTGCGGGCTGGCCCCTCTCCTGCCCCCCGCCTGCGGCCGGTCGCCCATCGCCTGGCCCCGCCGCTCCCCCGCCAGGCACCTGATTCACCTGCCTCCCCCTGCGCGCTGCGCTCCACGGCGCCGGCTGGGTGCCCGCGGGCCGGCCGAGCTGCCCCCGACAGGTGCCCCGCGGGCCGAGGGGATGCTGGGCATGCTGCCGGCCCCCGTCCCTGCTGGGCGCTGGGTCCCGGAGCCGCTGGCTCGGGGTGTGCGAAGGGGCAGCTCCTCCCCCTGCTGGAATCTGATTAGCCTGGTTTAGTTTGGGGGGAGCGGCTTTTCGCAGGCGAGACGCTGCTGCTGCTGCTGGTGAAAAGCGGCATTGGCTGGAGCCTGCCCTGGAAATGTGTTTTGCCAGGGCTGGGCGTTGGGAGCCTGCCTGAGTCAGGTGTTTCCAAGAGGAAGCAGCACTGCCCAGCACCCTGAGCCTGAGGTAAACAGCTCGGAAGTTGTTGGAAGCGAGCCAGGCTGGCACTGGCAGAGGCAGCTGGTCTGTGACTGCGGAACTCCCCTCCACAAGAGATGAGGGCAAGCAGACAGCTCTAAAGATAGGACTCTAGGTCAATCTGTTCTCTGTGGGGTCTTACACCATGCTCCTCAGCTCACCTAGTATCTGAGCAGCTTCCAGTCCTGCATTCAGCAAGGTGACTAACAGCAGTCACATGTTTGTTTTCTCATCCTCTCCCTTGTTTTCATTAGCTCTGTCTGTTTACTCCCAGCAGTCAGAATCTCAGGCCTGTCTTAGCCTACTCCGCACTGGAAAAGTTGCACCAGTCTAGGCTATCGCTACACTTTGTGCTTCTTTCAGCAGTGTGGACTCGGGCAGCCCCCCCCCCCCCCCCCCGGGTTCCAGTAGCAATGTAGATGCTGGGGCATGGCTTATGTGAGTAGAGTTCAGACAGAGCTGAAGGGTATGGGTATGTACCCAAGTGCATACACTATACAGCTCTCTACTCACCTGAGCCTTGCCTCCCCCCGCAGGGAAAGACTTTGGCAGTGGGGAAAGGCTGAGCCCCCCCACCCCCCATGCCAAAGCCTGTCACTGGCTGGCACATGTAGCTTCACACTGCAGTGTGGATGCCCCCACCTGTTCACTGTGACATCTACCTACACACACCTTACACACCACCAAACGTAGGTGTAGCATAGACTTAGCACTAGTTACACTGCTGCAGACCAGTTCAGCCCTCGCTTACATCAGCTTGTGTCAGTAAATGATCGTTTGATTTAAGCAGGGGTTACGCTAATTTAAGTGTCATTAGGAGTTTAAGTCCATCTAGTTAAACCAGTGCAATTTTCCTAGTAGGGGTAAGGCCTGAAATCCAACAAATAATAATCTCCTGTATTTATGGAGTGGAATCGAAGGACCAAGGCACAGACCGTAGATAGATTCCATCCCTCGGTCCCTGTGGAGCAGGGCCCCTGGTTTTGCCATTTCTGTAAAGCTCTGCTGTAAACGTCTGTACATTCCTGCTGGAACGCATATGCTTGCTGAGGGCTTTGGGCCAAATTCATCCTGGGTGTAGTTTCATTACCTGCAGTGGTGTTTGCAGCAAGGGCTAGTTTGGCCCTATTGCATTTAAAGGGGCTCTCTCAAGATAAAAATCATCTTTGTGAAAGAATAATCCTACCCATCTCACTGAGAACATGGAGAGGACTCAACCAAGGAGAATGCAGGTTATTTTGCCCATAGTGATGCTAAGGTGGATGGGACAATTTCTATTTTCTTTCTAGTCAGTTTTACTTTTCAGGACTCATTCACCAGAGCGGCTACATGCTGACTTCTACCTGCCTTGGGTACCAGCCTGGCCCCCTGTAGCATCTGCAAGACTAACGGTCTTTGATGTGTTCTGTGACAGTGTGAGGTTCTGCTCCCCTCTTCTCTTCTGCCAACACAGGCTGGTCAGAGACCTTTTGTTGTTAACCACCACACTGTAGCTTATTTACAATGCTCTCCCCTCCCTTCACTGTCCCATACACCACATGGTTTGCAGCAACCACAGCTCCTCTGCGAAGGAGTGGAAAGAGGAGAGATCTCTCCACCCAGAAAGCCTTCTTGGTTCTGACTCTGCTACCCTGCTTCTCCCACAACATGTCCTTCCTGTGCTACCTTCTCCCCTCTGCATCCAGGGGCTAGTTAGCGCTTTAGTGCTCCCCAGCCCATGCTAATCTGCTAATGAGGCACAATCAGGTCCAGGTGGGGGGAATTAATTGGTGTTTAAGAAGACAACACCTCTGTGCAGCAGAGCAGGACATGCAGCAGGGGACCTGAGGCCCAGAGGGACTCAGGCCCCACTCCTCAAAGGGATTTAGCTGCTGAACTCCTCCTGATTTCAATGAGGAGCTGGGCCCAAGTGACTTGCCCAAGGTCCCACAGGCTGAGCAAAGCCAGGAATTGAATCCCAGTGTCCTGAGACCCAGACTAGCCCCTAACCATGAAGCCATCAGGATGGGGGGGGATTAATTGAATTTCAGACAACAAAAAATAATGGTGGTTTTATTTGTATTTTTAAAATCATGACAATGTTTCTATCCATGTGAGAGCCTGGGACCCACTTTCCTTTACACAAACCCCTAAAGCCTTGGTACTAGGTTACTATGACAGCTACAGCATCGCACAGCAGCGATTCAGAACCACTGCTCCCAGCCAGCTGTGCCACTTCAGCCTCTAAGACCAGCACTCACCTACGTAACAAGGGGAGTGGGGGGTGGGGAATGGAGTGAAATGTACTGGTCCATTTCCTGCAGGTGCCGTCAGCAAGACATCAAAAAGAAAGTAAAACACTGGGGGATAAATCCACCTCTTTCCCCAGTGGGAACAGTATTACAGTGGCCCCAGCTGAGATCAGGCCCCCATTGTTGGCACTGTATAGACGCACCATAAGAGAGAGTTCCTGCTCCAGAGAGAGAAAATTACACAAGCTGTGGACCCAGCGCTACAAACCATGCTCCCTTGGAGTCCATAGGACTCCCACGTACAGTGGGCTCGCAGGTTGTGGTGTGTGCAGCTATGTAACTGATAGGAGATTTCGCTATGCTGCACTGTTAGACACAGAGGCATCCCCTCCACTTTGTGTTTCATTTCAGATGCAGAGTTTTCCAGAGGAGTCACACACACTGTGCTCTCTCTCGGTGTATTTGTTCTTCCTTTTCTTGTTGTTTTCCTTAACCTGAAATAAAAGTCATCCAGAGTGAAAGGAGGTTTCTAACCGTCAGAGGAGGGAGGTTCTGGAACAGCCTCCCAAAAGGAGGACTGGTGGCAAACAATCCAGCTCGTTCGAAGACGCAGCTTGATAAGTTTCTGAACAGAATTTTATGATGGTGTTGGCTGCAAAAGCAGGGAACTGGACTCCGTAACCCAGGAAGTCCCTTCGAGTCCTATGGCTCAGTGAAAGGACATGTTCTGCTCTTTGTGGGGGTGGGGGAACCATAATACAGGATCGGGCCCTTTCAAGTCATATTGTCCCATTGTTGTGCACTCAGCTTTCTTTCAGGTTTCCTGGTGCTCCAAGATGTATTGAAAATCAACAATAACAGTCCAGCCTTGCTAGAGGCCTCTCCTATGGGGATTTGAGGTGAGTGGGGCTCTGAAATGAGATTCCATAGCAGGGGAGCCTGGCACTCTGGGACACAGATAGTAGTTGATGAGTCTTCTACTACAGCCTTGGCTAATAGAGGCTCATGTTTAAGATCCAGAGGTTGCAGGTTCAATCCCCATTGCTCATACAAGGGGTTGTATCACACATGCATTAATGTGAAGTGCTCTGATACACTGGACTGATTCCACAGCCAGGGTGCATAGCCCCTCCCCCAAGTCTCTGTAGCAGAACCATAGGGGTTCCTCTGCATCTAAGGGGCTTCATATCTGGAGATGACAGACCATGATTTCACACCTGGTGCCAGCCTCTCAGGGAGAGCTGCCCTACTCTCTGACAAGTCCCTGGGCTCTGCCTCCACGCTAACTCCTTGCCCAGTTGCATATCCATTTTTATTAGCAGTGCAAAGCAAATAAAGACACACTCTGAAAAGTTTGTTTAACCAACAACAACAACAAAAAGAAGGCTGAGCCAAAGGGGTAGAAAGTTCACGGGTGCAGCAGAGTAGTGCTTCCTCCCTATTGTGCGAGACACGGGTGACTGAGTAACTTACAAAGGGTGCAAGGTCAGGACCCCCAGGGGGATTCATTACCGAGCTGTCAGCTACCAGCTGCCACTTAACGGCCTGTCTGTTGGCTCTCGTGCAGGGACAAACCGGCTGACAGCTGATTGCAGAGAGGCACGTGTGAGCATGGATCTGGCTGCGGGTGAAATTCTGGCATGTCTTTGGCAGTGACATTATTCCCCCACTGGTGTATGTGACAGGCCAGTAACACAGTCATGTACAGCAGCCAGCAGCCCATGGTTAAGGGGCTCGTGAGGGCTGGAGACATGGGAAGGTTCTTCCTCTCCCAAGCAGACAGGACTAATAAATGTCACACTTAACAATGATCTATTGTGTGAGGAGCAAACGCTGCCTCCAGTCATGAAGCAGGCCTGTGGGCACATTGATGTGTTGCTGCAGGAGCCTCTTTTGTAGCTGCCCTCAGATTTTCCCACAGATTTTCTGTGTAAGCAGAG